TACTCATCTTGAGATTTCCTAATTGATAAAATGATCTATCACCTCAGTAGGGTTGCACATGGTGTTTTACTTTTATCTCCATGTAAATTAAAGTTAAACTTATGGAAAACTGTTTATATAAACAAATATGTAAAATATTTTCTAAACTGGAATAACTTTGAAAAACTATACAGTATAATATGAATATGTGGTATGTACCATTTTAGCAGAGTAACTAGTCCTTCATGTTCGTGATTAAGTATTGTATTTCCTCTTAAATCCCTGTGGGAGTACTTGGGTATAGAAGGCATTTTAGCCACTTCATTTGTCCCAAGACCTAAGTTCATTTTAGGATTTTTTTTTTCAGTTCTATGTCTAAATCTGATGCAGGAATAATAAAAGCCATGCAGTAGTAGAACTTCTATCTTAATTTATGAGACTAAGAAACTTCTTATAACACTTGAAAGCTTTCCTTTCTTTAATAGGTTTAACCTTCATTTCTAATACATAAATGTAATTTATATTTTTGCTTAGACTCCACTGATTGGAGATGATACAAATATAACCCTCGTAACACAGATATAGGACCTAATGGTGGCCTTTGGATGGTACTTCAGCTCTCACCTGGTAAAGTCCCTGGGATTCCACATTCCCCAAATCCTTTTCTTTTCGTTGAAATGCCAAGTAGCTCTCCTGTTTTTTCGTCCATAACCAGAATTCCTACTGCTGCTCTTAGATGTCATGCTGTGCTCTGCCACCTGGTGGTCGCAATGTACACTGTTATTTCTGTTGCTGCTGCGGTTGCCTCCTACTGCAACACTGAGAGTCAAGGTGCAGAGGTTGAGATTCAGTCTGCAGGAGTGATATTCAGTGATACCTGCTCTGGAGGCAGAGTTCTTAGTTTGAATCCCTAGATCACTGCCTCCTTGCTGTGTAACCTTGGACAGGTTATATAGTTTTCTTATCTGTAAAATAGATATAGTAATAGTGTTTATCTCACAAGATTGTTTTATTAAATTAATACAAATGTTGAGAACATTACATACTGTAAACAGTATATGACAGAAAACAGCAAAATGCTGAAAATAGTAGGTGACACATAACAGTGTTAGCTATTGGTTTTTCATTTGTTTGTTTTTTTGTTTTGTTTTGTGACAGAGTTTTGCTCTTGTTGCCCAGGCTTGAGTGCAGTGGCACAATCTCGGCTCACTGCAACCTCTGTCTCCTGGGTTCAAGCAATTCTCCTGCCTTAGCCTCCGGAAGTAGCTGGGATTACAGGTGCCTGCCACAACACCCAGCTAATTTTTTTGTGTTTTTAGTAGAGATGCGGTTTCACCATGTTGGCCAGGCTGGTCAACTCCTGATTTCAGGTGATCCACCTGCCTGGGCCTCCCAAAGTGCTGTGATTACAGGCGTGAGCCACCGCGTCCAGCCAGCTATTGTTATTATTCTGATCTGAATGCTTTAGGTAAGCAATTAAAAGCTATTTTTTGTTTGGAGCTATCATAGCTCCAAACTGATTTTAGCCTTGAGTTTATTTTCTAATGTTTATCTTTTCTAAATCCATTATGTATATATTTTGTTATACATAATTTTAAATTATCACTATCTCATATTGTAAAGTTAAGAAGTAAAAAAAGAACACACACACACTAAAATGGAAGTGTTCTTAAAGTGAGTGAATATCATGTAGAAATTACCATAGCACAATAGTAGAATTTTTCAGAAATTTGTCTTTTAAATTTAGGAAATTAATTAGTGAAATGAGCTTTGTTCTGAAAATGTATTACTAATTGTACTTAGTGTTTATTATCCCAGTTCTTGAAGTAAACTATAGATTTTATTTCTGTTTTTTTACATACTATAACAAGGTAATTTCTAAGTTTTTCTTTTATTCGTTCATTTTCCCTTTCTGGGGTGGGTGTGTGTGTGTGTGTGTGTGTGTGTCTGTCTGTCTGTCTGTCTGTGGTATTCAAATATTATTATGGTATGATATTCTGCTTTTCTTGTTTCTGTTCTGTTCCCTTCTGTTTCTGTTCTGTTTCCTTCCTTTTTCATATTTTTGTTTATATATAAAAAACATTATTATAGGATAGTATTTTTTCACTCAATTTTATATTGTACATATTTCCCTTATTGTTAAATAGTTTAATATATCATAAATTACTCATTTTGATTGGATACTGTTTTCTTTTTGTTGTATAATATAATAATGGTTATTTTTATCCATACAACTTTTTTCTCCTCATGTATTTGTAAAACAAATTGCCAAAAGGAGTCTTAAGAGTACATGAATGATTTTGTGGTTCTTGAAATACTTTCCCACATTTTTATCCAAAAGCATTGTGCTTTTTAATGCTATGAAACACAAATTTACTAATGCTATTAAATACGAATTTACTTTCACCCATAAAACACTGTCTAGGAGCCAAAGTGAAAAAGACAGGATCCCTGCTCTCCAGGGCTGGAGTGTAATAGAGAGGATGCATATAGATGCATGACTAAAGAGAAAGGCAGCGCCATTGTGAGTCTGAAGAGGAACTGGGACAGTTAGACAATAGCAGCGTAGAAAATACATCTTAAGAGGAGATAGAATATGAAAATATGGTTTAAATTCGAAATAATTATTGATGCTAATTTTTCTGTCTTGTGTGTTATGTTTGTATTTCTGAAACATATTGTTTTACTTTGTAACAAAATGACCTAACTCCTGCCAACTGCATGATATGGTAGAAAGAGCACACAGGTTTGAACAAATTGCTTAATTTTCTAAACTTCAGTTTCTGCACATGTAAAATATGAAGGATACTTGCTTTAGAGAGTTTTGAGGATTATAGAAACTGTATTTTATCTGTTTTCTCAGCCTTATTTTTAAAAATATTTGAAATGAAAGAGCTAATATATTAATAAAGTATTTAGTACAGTATATGGCACATAAGTTAGACTTAGTAAGAAGGAGCCACCATTGGTTTTTTGATTGCCAGTGTTAAGCATTCTGCTTCATACAAAGCATCAGCTTTCCTGTAAATACTGCTAAGTTTTCTAGAGGCTGGAACCGCACCTCCTAAAGGATCAGAATTCACTTCCTCAACCTCCAGAGTAAACCCAGCGTTTCAGTCTTTATGGTAACCAATAGGCTGGCTTTCCTTCCTTTCCTTTCATCAGCCCCTGCTAGTTGCCAGGTACCATGTTAGATGTAGGGAATAGGAAGATAACTGAGATAATGTCCTACACTGTCTACCTGGAGAGACAGAGTCACATGTCAGAGAAATCAGTGATTCTCAACCCTGGCTGCTCATTAGCATAACCTGGGGAAGCTGTTTAAAAATACCAGTGCTCATGCCATACTTTAGATAATTTAGAAGTTAATGCAAGCAGAAACAATATGAGTGAGTCTTTTGATTGGAAAGAGAATTGGAAAAAGCTTCACAATTAGAGTAACATTCAAACCAGTGACAAAACTTTGTATTGTTAAGAGGACAAAAAGCCAGGGCACAAAAGCTTGAAAACTGGTAGCTGATTGGAGAAGGAAATGGTAGATTATAAGGACAGACTAACAAGTACAAACCAGCTAATAAGAAAGAAACTTTACCTCTGTTAAGGAGTTCAGACCTCATTATGTAGAAAATGAGGTAGACTTTATGAGAGAATGATAGATGCAGTCTCTGATTTGGAAAAAAAAAAAAAAAAACATCTAGCCACTAGTTTATAACATTGTCAAAAAAAATTCTAGATGGAATTAAAGTTACAGAAAAAATAGTGGATAATATTTCTATATTTTGGGGTTCGAGAATACCTTTATAAACATGTTATCAACTCTAAAGCCATAAAGGAGAACATTGAGATTAACAGATTTTACCAAGTAAACATGTAAAACTCTGCAACAAAAGGTACTCTAAAGTTGAAAGTCTAGAAACAAACTAGGGGAAAGTATTTGCCACCTAAATGACAGAAGGCTAAAGTACCTAATATATAATGAGTTCTTACAAATCAATGAAGAATAGGCAAAAGATTTGAGCAGGTAGCTTTCCAAAGAAGAAATACAAATGGTTGCTAAAGCACATAAAAGTATGCTTATCTTCAGGAATAAGCAGGATTGTAAAGTCAAACAAGAGTGGGATCTTTTAAACTTTCATGTTGATACAGATTTTTAAAAGTGAATAATATCTAATGTCAAAAATTTGTAGAAACAGGCAGTCTGATAACATTGTTGGTGGATGATAAGTTGGTGTTACCTTTCTAGAGAGTAGATTAATGGTTATCTATCAAAACTTAAACTGTGGTTGTCCTTGGAACCAGTAGCCACAACTAAGAATTATCCCTGGTGAAATACAATGTTGTAACATTGTTTGTAATGCCAAACAGTGTAAATGTATACATACTTGATAGGCATTAAACTTTTTTGTAGGAATATATACTAGACTGAAGAAACTGCTGGGGGAGGGGCACTTTATATACTTCTGTAATGTTTGGGATTTTTTTAGAACCATCTATAGCAGTTTTTGTGTGTCCTAGATGAATTAGATGAGGAAGAAGTTGGAGGCAGGAAAATCAGTTAAAGAACTTTTTTTGCCTTGTTGAGGTGTGAGAAGTATTTTGGTCTGAATTGGAACTGTGACAGACTGAGGAAGAGGGAAGATTTGAAAGATATAGAATCTATAAACTTTTACTATGTGAGTGGGAAGAATGAGGAAAGACCATCAAAGGTGGTTTTGAAGTTGGTAAGTTGTATTGCTGAGTAAGCAACTATAATATTAAAAAAATAGGAAAAACAGAAAAAGAAGCATTTTTGGAGCCAAAGATAATGAGTATCATAAATATAGATCCTCAATAAGTATTTGAATAATAAATTAGTTTGGGTCAGTTAGCAAATCTTTAGCATGCACAATTTATGCTTTCTTATTAAGGCTTCTGTGGTTTTTCTGCTGCTTGTTAACAGATGTCATTAACATTTCAAAATACATAAACAGCAATTTCTAATTATAATTTTAAAACTATTTTTTCTTGTTTTATATTTTCAGAGTGCACATTTGGCCATGATAGATACCCTTATGATGGCTTACACGGTAGAAATGGTCAGTATAGAAAAAGTAATTGCATGTGCTCAACAGTATTCAGCTTTTTTTCAAGCCACGGATCTGCCCTATGATATCGAGGATGCTGTCACGTACTGGATAAACAAGGTAGGATTATACTCACTTGAGTAAATTGCATCTCATAGCCAGAAAACATGAAATTCTAAATTGTACATTGTCATTTCATTACTCTTTGTTTTAAATCAATGTGCAAACTTAGTTGAAAATATATTAAAATTTTTTAATTTAAAAAAGCTTAAATGATGAAAATAGATTTCTATATACTCAGCAATATTTATAATTACTCTTTTTTTTTTTTTGAGATGGAGTCTCACTCTGTCAGGCTGGAGTGAAGTGGTGAGATCTTGGCTCACTGCAACCTTCACCTTTCAGGTTCAAGCAATCCTCATGCCTTGGCCTCCCAAGTAGCTGGGATTACAGACATTTGCCACCACCTCAGCTAATTTTTGTATTTTTAGTAGAGACAGGGTTTTGCCATGTTGGTCAGGCTGGTCTCAAACTCCTGGCCTCAAGGGATCCGCTCACCTCGGTTTCCCAAAATGCTGGGATTATAAGCGTGAGCCATGGCCCCCTGCTAATATTTATAATTACCCTTATTGATTAATCTAGTTCATACCAGATAGTGACAAAATTCAGAACACTCCTAATAGTGAACTATACAGTGGGTACTCAGTAAATACTTTTTGAATTCATTTCAAGAATGAAATAATTTTCTTTCATTCCAATTAGAGGATTCCTAGGTTTGCTTGACCAATTTGCACTAGATCGAATTGATTGTGGATTCCTCTTCTTGGAAATTTTTATGGAAGTGTGATTTGTGCTTTGAAGATGCTTAAATTGTCAGCTTATCACTCCCTTTGCCAATTTGAGTAGTTAATTTGTCTTGATCCACTTTCACTTACAATTGTCACCCAAGAGAAAATTAAACCTTATTTGAAGACAAGCACTAAACAGATTTAAAAGAAGTTATATCTCCATGTATCCTTTCTTGAAAGCTTGCATGAAGCTTGTAATAAAAAGCTAAATGTAAACACCACTATTACAGCTATCTTCATTATCCATAATATCAGTATCATTGTAGAAGGACGGTTTAATACTTTGCTGCTCTGCAGTTCCTTTATTTCTTCATCTCTAGTAGTCTTTTCCGCACTCCTTCTCAGCTATAGAGAATCACAGTCTCATTCTAGACCTGTTCATCTTGAGAAACTATGCAACCTTCACATCTCATTACAGACTTCCCATTCTTGAACAATTTCTCCTATCCTCCTAGCTCACTTGCTTTAAATATTAATTTTTAAAATGTTCAACCTCATTATGACTTCCAAACCATTGAGCCTATTAATTTCTCACAATTTTACTGGACTTCATATCTGTCCATCTTGAACTTAGATTTTTATAAGTACTGTCAGTTCTTAATGTTTCCCCTTCCCTCCCTGTTACTCATTTGGTAACAGCTCAGATGGTTTAGCTCAGTTGCCCATTTTATTTCTAATCTGCACTTGCAGAGGCAAATATTGCTGGAGAAATTTCCACAAGGAAGTTGGTTTCACTTTAAGTTCATAAGCACAAACTTGACATAGACACTCAGCCACTCACTGCTAGTCCAACAAATGTGGCCCTAAGTTTGCTTTCCCACGCTTCATGACAACTATTTTACCCATTTTCCTCTAATTCTCAGACCTTCTGTAACCCTTTCCCTACTACTGTCAGCTAAATTTGCCTTTTCTTTTCTTGAGATCTTTAGGTGGGAATTGTCTTGTTTTTATACTGGCAAATCTGTAAACAGTTTTGCATCAGCACTCACTGCCTTTCTTTTGTCCTACTCTTAGATTGGAGAATTTCCCCCCTCACATCAAATGTGACCCTTTTTCATGGTCATTCATTCTCTGCTTCAGTTCTTACATTTTAATGTACATAAGAATCACCTGGTATATTAGTCCATTTTCTTCTTATACCTGAAACTGGGTGATTTATAACAAAAATGGATTTATTTCTTATAGCTATAGAGGCTAAACAATTCCAGGTCAAGAGGACACTGGTGAGAGCCTTCTTGCTAAGTGGGGACTCTGCAGAGTCGTGAGGCAGCACAGGGCATCCTGTGGCTGAGCATATTAGCTGAGGTCTGTCTTCCCCGTCTTATAAAGCTGCTAGTGATAGCCTGTTAATGCATTAATATGTGAATTGGGTCTGCTCTCATAACCCAATCACCTCTTAAAGGTCCCACCTTTCAATACTGCCACAGGTAAGATTAAGTTTCAACATGAATTTCGGGGGGGGGGGTGCAAATATTAAAACCATAGAACCTGGGCACATGTTAAGATGCCTGATCTGAATGAGGGATCTAGGGTGGAGCTGGAGAGTCTGCATTTCTAACAAGCTCCAGATGATACTAATGCTGCTGGTCTGGGACCACACTGTTATTCGTTCACTCCCACATTGTCTGACTCTTGCTTCCTACTGTATCATTCTCATAAGAATACAGACTTGGGCTGGGCGTAGTGCCTCATGCCTGTAATCCCAGCACTTTGGGAGGTCAAGGCAGGCGGATCATCTAGGGTCAACAGTTCAAGACTAGCCTGGCCAACATGGTGAAACCCTGTCTCTACTAAAAATACAAAAATTAGCTGGATGTGGTGGCAGGCGCCTATAATCCCAGCTACCCAGGAGGCTGAGATAGGAGAATTGCTTGAAGCTGGGAGGCAAAGCTTGCAGTGAGCCGAGATCGTGCCACTGCACTTCAGCCTGGGCAATGGAGCGAGACTCTGTTTCCAAAAAAAAAAAAAAAAAGAATACAGACTTGGACGCCAGGTGCAGTGACTCATGCCTGTAATCCCAGCACTTGGGAGGCTGAGGCGGGTGGATCACCTGAGGTCAGGAGTCCAAGACCAGCCTGACCAACATGGCGAAACTGTGTCTCTACTAAAAACACAAATATTAGCCGGGCATGGTGGCACACAGCTGTGGTCCCAGCTACTTGGGAGGCTGAGACAGAAGAATCACTTGAACCCAGGAGGTGGAGGTTGTAGTGATTCGAGATTGCACCACTGCACTCCAGCCTGGGCAATAAGCAAGACTCCGTCTCAAAAAGAAAAAAAAACAAACAAACAAATCAGACTTGCTCTAGTGTCTTCCATTCTAAGAAACAAAACTTCCCCATCCAAATACAACCCTATTTCTCCATACAACAGAGCTTCTCAAAAGTTGTTTGCTATTTCTTTAGCCTACTCTCATCTCTCTGCCATACCCATTCCTACCCTGAAATTGTTCCTGAGTTGGTCAGAAAGGCAAATCCAATCAATATTTTTTCTGTCCTTAAACATATTCGTTACTTCTAAAGCATGAACCACCCTCCTGAAGTTTCAGTGGAAAACCCAAGGTGTTTACCAAGCCTTCATTACTTGGTGGGATTTGAACACCAAACTCTGTCTCCCCTGTAGTGGCAGTTTCTTTGGCTTCTCAGTAGTTGTCTTCTCCCTGCACTTCTTAGAATCTTTCCTATACATGCACAGTCCAGGGTGCAGCCAAGAATGCAGATTTTGGGCCTCCCCCATTACCTTTCCTAGAATATTCCTTCTCAATATCCAGCTACTCTAGCAGTGCCAGATTTCTCCCTTGATTCCTCCTGCCATCCACCCTACAGTTTTTCCTTGAGTTCTAGTCACAGTGCACTGTTAAAGTGGGGGTAAGGCCATGTAAACATGGATTTCACACAGTGTGTTTCTTTCTTTCTGAAGTTGAATTCTTTCTTGCTTCTGCTTGCTCTTGGTTGCTCACCATTACCTTCAACAGATGCTTTATATATTTTGTCCAGAGTTTATCAACTCTCTCTCTGCAGGGCTTAGTGTGATGCATGCTATTCCACTGTTACCAGAACCAGAATTCTAGAAGTATCTTTTTACAGTGCAGCTTGGATCATGTCATTCCTTTGCTCAGAACTCTTCAGTGGCTTCACTTTACCCTTAAAATGAAACATAAAATGTATCATGGTTTGCAAGGTACTACCTAATCTGACCCTGTGTACTCCATACGAGGCACATGGCCACTGTTCCCCTTTCTCACCTCTGAGCCATTGAACGTGATTCCTATTCCTGGGTAGCTCAGCTCCCAGCTTTCTGCATGGCTTAGTGCGTCTGCTTCCATCAGCTTGGTAGCACTTTTTCCTGACAACCTTATCTAAATGGAGTGCTCTCTCAACATTAGTTTTCTATACTCTAACAATCTACTTTTTTTCTTTTATAGCACTTTTCAGACTTTCTATCATTTAATTTTTAAAGATCTGTCTTCCCAACTAGAACAGTCTGTATGAGGATAGGTACAATGAACTTTTTATGTCCAGTGCCTATGATGACCTTTTTTCTCTTCAGTTCTAGTGTCTAGACTAGAACAGTGTTTGGCGAAGAGATGATATTTAATAAACACTGACTAAATTAATAAAGAGAAGAGATTGTTTCAGCCATCGAATTAAGTTAGGCACTTTAGAACTTTGGAAATCTCAGAATTAAGGAAATCATGTAACTAGGAATGTTCAGCACCATTTTGCAGTCATAGCCACCTCATTCCATTTTCAAATTAGGTTTAAAACAATTTGATTCAACCTGAACTGCAGTATATTTTTTCCCTTGCTCCACTCTACCAGCCCCAGCGTTATTTTTTATTCTCGCATTATGACTCCACCCTTGCCTCTCAGATTTAGTACATATTTTCTCCTTCTGGCTCTTGTTTTGGCTCATCCTAACCCAGTTGCCTTTTTTCCTGGATAGTGCATCCACAAGTATAAAAAAACCTACCAAAGACAAATGGCAGTAACATGGCTAAAACAATTATCAGCATAGTGGCTACAATGAATTTAAACTTAAAAACGGAAAAGCAAAATCAGAGAACATAAGATTATATTGAATGACTGAATCATGCAGAGGTACACAAAATTTATGATTATATTAACCTTATATTATTTGGCTCTACCTCTGTTTCAGATCTCATTTTGTAACTTCTTTGGGTTCACTGTGTCATTCTATTACTTAAACATGGCAAGTATTTTTCCTACCACAGGGCTTTTGCTTATGTTTTTCATTTACTCTTTGGAATGTTGTTCCCTCTACTTTTTCTGTAGCCAGCTTGTTCTCTTTAAGATCTCAGCTTAAAGTCACTTCTTTTTTTTTTCTTCTGTTCTGAGGCGAATGAATTGAACCAAAAAAGTTACTTCTTAAAGAAACTGTCTTAGTCAGTTTGGGTTGCTATAACAAAATGCCTTAGCCTAGGTAGTTTATAAGCAACAGAAATTCATTGCTGGTAGTTCTGAAAGTTGGGAATTCCCAGATCAAGGTGCTAGCAGATTCAGTTTTTGGTGAGGACTTGCTGTCTGCTTCAGAATGGCAGCTTCTTGCTGTGTCCTCACATGTCCTTCTTGCTGAAAGACCACTGTGCTCTTTCAGTTGCCTTTATAAAGGAACCAACCCCATACACCAGGGCAGATCCTCATGACTTAATCATGCCCTGAAAGGCTCCACCTCTTTTTTTTTTTTTTTTTTTTTTTTTGAGACAGTTTTTTGCTCTTGTTGCCCAGTCTGGAATGCAGTGACGCAATCTCAGCTCACTACAACCTCTACCTCCCAGATTCAAGCGATTGTCCTGCCTCAGCCTCCCAAATAGCTGGGATTACAGGCACATGCCACCACGCCTGACTAATTTTTGTATTTTTAGTAGAAAGGGGGTTTCACCATGTTAGCCAGGCTGGTCTTGACCTCCTGACCTCAGATGATCTGCCTACCTTAGCCTCCCAAAGTGCTGGGGTTACAGGCAAGAGCCACCTCGCCTGGCCACCACCTGTTAATATTAACACATTGGGGATTAAGTTTTAAATATGAACTTGTAGAGGGCAAACCTTTAGACCAAAGCAAAGGCCTTGTCTGGTAAAACCATCTTTTCTAAAATAGATCTTCCTGCTCCCATTATTTTCTACTCACATTTTAATTAATTTCTAGCATTTACCAGTGGTTTTTGTTGTTGTTGTTCATCTCCCCTGTTTCATGAGGACAGGAATCATTTTGGCTTTGTACTCCATTGTATGGTTAGCTTCTTAATACAGTATCTGGCACATAACAGTAAATATCTGTTGAATGTGTAATAAATGAGTGGTGTTTTAAAATGTTAATTTGTGACCACTTTGCTTTTTGGACACATTCAGATAAAAATTTATTTAAAAATGAAGATATTTTTTCAGTGGGGAAAAAAAATAAAAACAAGGATATTTCCAAACTGGCAGATCAATTATGACTTTCTGACAATGAATTAGGAAGTATTTGCTTTTTAACTTAAAAAAGAGAATGAGGCTGGGTGTGGTGGCTCATGCCTGTAATCTCAACAATTTGGGAGGCTGGGGCAGGTGGATCACTTGAGTCCAGGAGTTTAAGGCCAACCTGGGAAACAAGGTGAAACCCTGTCTCTACCAAGACAAAGCAAAACAAAATAAACAAAAAAAGAAGAATTAGCCAGGTATGGTGGTGCAGACCTGTGGTCCCAGCTATTCGAGAAGCTGAGACGGGAGGATTGCTTGAGCCCAAGAGGCAGAGGTTGTAGCAAGCCGAGATCAGACCACTGTACTCCAGCCTGGGTGACAGAGCAAGACCGTGTCTCCATAAAAAAGAGGCAGGTGGGTGGTGGTGCGGGAAATGAAAATACTACAAAACAAACAAATAGAAAACATTATAAACTTTCCCAGGATTTGGTCCTGTCTTCCTCCTTTCTCCCAGTAGGTAAAGAGACCAAAATGCTTAAAGATACATGGATTTTATAAAACTGCTTTTAACACATATATTATCATGATAGAAAATATGGGGCCAGGCGCAGTGTCTCATGCCTGTAATCCCAGCACTTTGGGAGGCTGAGGTGAGAGGATCACCTGAGGTCTGGAGTCCGAGACAATCCTGGCCAACATGGTGAAACCTCATCTCTAACTAAAAATATTTTAAAAAGTTAGCCAGTCATGGTGGTGGGCAACTGTAATCCTAGCTACTCAGGAGGCTGAGGCAGGAGAATTGCTTGAACCCAGGAGTCAGAGGTTGCAGTGAGCCAACATGGTGCCACTGCACTCCAGCCTGGGTGACAGAGTAAGACTATGGCTAAAAAAAAAAAAAAAAAAAAAGAAAATATGAATGATTTTGTCAACATGTCAGACAAAAACTACAATCTTCCTGTCAGGAACACCTGACATGCTTGATAAATAGAAAAGTATACTGCAGAGCTGAGATTACAGGAAGAAAAGGGAATTACCAGATGCTAGAAAAAAGTAGGAACTGAAAGTTTTGGTGGCTAATGGCATTAATATTTTCTACAGTGCCATGATTAATTTTATTTATTGATTGTTACTAGAGTGACCTTAAAATCATTAACTCAAAACCCAAAATTATCTCAAGTCTTCTCAATAAATAATTTATGCTCCCTGTAGACTGTTTTAACTATTTCTGAATTATGGACTGTTTGAATAATCTGATGAGAGATAAATTAGGCTCTCTCCCCAAAAAGTTATGCCAACATTCTGCACGTGTTTTAACTGGCAATATGACTGCCTTAAATACCCCCATGATCATGGACATGTCTGAAATCACACCTTGAGAACTTGATTCACAATGTTATTTATTGATAATAAAAACATTAATTTTAGGGGAAATAATTAGAACTAGTAAATAGTAGTTCTAAAATAGATTGCAAAATTTTTACTTGATATTATTTTGTTTCCTAAGCATTGAAACTGACATTACTGAGTACCTTTTTTTCCCTAGCACTCCAACAATTCCTGACATATAGTAGATGGGCAACAACTATCTGGTAAATTAATGAATTCTAGAATATCAAATGTGCACCCATAAACTATTTTTTTCTGGTTGTGAAACTGAAATTTTCTTTGAGTGAGACTGATATTTGACATCAGGACTTCTGACGTGTTATTTTATTGTTATATTTGAATACAAATTCAAATTGATATTTTTATATTTTAAGGTAAATGAACATTTGAAAGACATAATGGAACAAGAACAAAAATTGAAAGAACATCACACAGTTGAAGCTCCAGGAGGTCAAAAGGTATATATGAGACTATATATATGTTCACATACTTGTGTTATTTTGTAAAATGTTAATAGTTGTGTTTATTAAATTATTTCTTAGTGGTGTTAACTGTACCCTAGAAAGCCATGCTGTAAACACTAAGTAAATAGAAGTAGAAATGAAGGTTGATTGGATGACGAGGTTTGTAAAAAAAATTATTAATGACTAGAACTCAAGTTCCGAGGTTCTTTAGTCAAAAATAACAGTTTTTCTTTCTTTAATAAAATGTATAAAACAACAAGAAAACAATTTTAAATGTTCAGCCTTTATAATGGCTTGCAGCAAGACCAACATTTGACCAACATTTAAAACAATATTCCCCGAATTTTGCCTGGTGCAGTGGCTCACGCCTGTAATCCCAACACTTTGGGAGGCCCAGGCTGTTGAATCACGAGGTCAGGAGTGAGTTTGAGACCAGCCTGACCAACATGGTGAAACCCCATCTCCACTAAAAATACAAAAATTAGCCAGGTATGGTGGTGTGCACCTGTAATTCCAGCTACTTAGGAGGCGGAGGCAAGAGAATCGCTTGAACTCTCGGCAGAGGCTGCAGTGAGCCGAGATTGCGCCACTGCACTCCAGCCTGGGCGACAGAGCGAGACTCTGTCTCAAAAAAAAAACAAAAAAAAACAACACATATATATATTATGTGTCAAAGAAAAACATACATGTATATATGTTTTTACATATATAAAAATATATATTATATATTATATTTTAATATATCATATATAATTACATATTTATATGTATAATTTTATATAAAATATATACTTACAATTTCAAAATGTACAGTATGGTTATTCTGTGATGAAAGAAGAAACATTAACATGGATTTATTCTTTAAAAATTTTCAAACAGACTTTTAGAGTTTTCTTCTCCGAAAACTCAGTTGTGTGTTTGTCATAGGTTAAGACCAAAAGTGTATTTTCTACAATATAGTATATCGTATGTCTTTTAAAATGTATTGTAATTGGAGCCCTTTAAACATGTTGTATAGTATTAGAATTGAGGTAGTAGAAATTGTAATAATTCAGAAGCCTTATTCTCCATTTGGATTAAAGTTTCTTCATTATTACACAGTACTTCTGTTATTTTGGTTGTATTCTTATTCTGTTAGTCACTGATATCTCCATAAAAAGAGAAAGAAGGAAAAAGGGAAGAAAAAGGGAAGCTGTTCTGTCTCTTATCAACTTTACAATAGAAAAATCTTGTGGAGAACCACCTACAATTTTGTCTTAATTTGATGTTTTGGGATCACAATGCTTTCCCCCATCTAGGTTACTGACTGGCTCCTGAAAATACGATTTGTGCTTAATCCTTCATCCTAACTTTGTTGAGGTCCTTTCCGCTAAAGGTGGATGGGAATGGAATTCTCTTTTCCTGTCCCCTAGATTGTGGTCATTTTCATGCTCCTGCCAATTTCTGTCCTTGCCTCTTCCCTGTTACGCCCCCTAGTCTTTTCTTGTCACCTTCCTTCCCTGTCTCTTTTTCATACCATAGGAGCTGAAACGTTTGCCTTGGAGGATACGTACAATCCTGCCCCTCAATTTTGCTCCTTGCTTTTGTCGGTAATAAGGTTGAGGTGGCATAATTCTAAGTTATAAGACTAATGAAATTTCTCTATAGAAATCTCATTTATTATATATGATGGTTAAATGCTGTCGTATTGCATACATATTGTGAACCAAATGGGGATTTTATATGATAACAGAGGGCCCAATAAACATTTATTTAATGAGAAAAATGCCATTTGTATTTCAAACAACTAAATAAAGTGATCTTGAAGAAAAAACAAACTATGTGGAATGTAGACACTACTTGTATTACATGGCTTTTACTTTTTCACGGCACTTAGCTCCATGCAGTTGCACATAATAACTGTACAACCAGCTTTTGTTCAATTTGTGACGGTGAATAAATGATTGTGTGAATTATTTTTAAATATTTGAATTAGTATACGTTTTTAGTTTAGCACATACATAGCATTTACCCATTAATTTTCAAATGAATTTTATCCTTTTTTCCCCATTGTTTTTTGAAAATTGTATCATTGTGAAAATAAGGGTTAATTTCACATAATCTTACTGTAGGTTCAGATGTCATCATTATGAAGAAACACATTATCACAGGATAAACTAGGAAAAGGAATCTTGCTCTGTTACCCAACAGTGGGATTTTTGGCGTTTGAACTATATACTTGGTTTAGCTGGAAATATTATCATTCCATTCTTGATTTTTAATTCTATAAAAGCAAAATTCATACTCCTTTTCTTCTTTTACAAATGAGAGAGAAAATAACTTTCTTTTTCTTATTACTATGCAGTTGGTAAGAAGTTGTGACTCTTTCCATCTACTTCAGCCAGGTTTTCTAGCAGGAGCCTAGCCCTGTTGTCTGTTGCTTGTCCAGCTATAGACAGAGTCCATGGTATTGGATAATAAAGTATCTTACCCTTTGTCCTTACCTAACTACTCTTAACTCAGATGTCCAATAGAATTTGTTTTATGAAATATCTTTTTATAACTATACTATTGGTAAAATATGTGCACATGTTAAAGAATACTTTCACTATATATTATTAGGGTTAAACTGAAATGAAAGATTTCAAAGTTATTTCTTTAGGATATTAGATCCTCTGGTGATGTATTTCTACTCATTGGATATTAGATCCTCTGATGATGTATTTCTAATCATTAGATTGGTTGGTGTCCTAAGAGAAAGGCATTTTAAATAATGTCATGTCCTGGGAAAATATTTTGTTTAAACAGTTTACTAACGTTATTTTCTCTTTTTTTCCCAAGTTGTTCATTTTGCTTCTGATACTCCTTTTGACTGTAAATTAGGGTGTCCAATTAAATTTGAATGCCAGAGAAACAGCAGATAATTTTTTTAATAAGTTGCACAGTTATCTTGTATTGTGTGAGCATCTTGTATTTATTTGCTAAATCTGGAAACTGTACTTGAAAGATTTCTGAAGTTTATAGCCAAGATGACATTAAGTCCAACATTCATTCCTTTGAAGAATTTATATAAAGTACTATGGTAAAATGAATATTGCATATAAAGACAGAGTAGTTCTGCCACTAAATAGTTTCATGACCTTTACAAAGGCACTTGACCTCTCTGGGCCTTGTTTTTTTTTGTTGTTGTTTTAATCTGTAAAAATTAAAAGATTGTATTAAATGGTTTCTAAAATCTGTAATTTAAAAAGATGCTCAGTTTTTCCCTTCTCAGTATATTAAACATGAGACAAAAACAAAAGGTTGGCAAAAATAGTAAATAGTTATAGACTTTTCTGTATGTGTATTACATACAAATGTATATTACTAGTACATTTATGATAACTATTTGCATGAAAGATCTAGGAATGCCTTCTACAGGATGTGGACTTTAACAGGGCCTTAGTAGATTTCATGGTACTATGTCATAGGGAACAATATAAGCAGAAACACTACGTTGAAAGTGAAGCCACATGTGGGACTTACTGAGCAGACAAATTTGGCAGGATCAGTTTTGAAAGAGCTATGAATTAATGAGTTTGTATTCTAATACAAACTATGTAGAGAGTGAAGTTTAATGTTTCTAAACATTTTTTTTTTTTGAAACGGAAGCTCGCTCTGTCACCCAGGCTGGAGGGCAGTGGCATGATCTCGGCTCACTGCAACCTCAGCCTCCTGGGTTCAAGCAATTCTCATGCCTCAGCCTCCCCAGTAGCTGGAATTACAGGCATGCACCACCATACCTGGCTAATTTTTTTTTTTTTTTTTTTTTTGTATTTTTAGTGGAAATGGAGTTTCTCCATGTTGGCCAGGTTGGTCTTAATCTCCCAACCTCAGGCGATCTGCCCGCTTTGGCCACTCAAAGTGCTGGGGTTGTTAAGTGTGAGACACCACCCCAGCCAATGTTTCTCAAAGTATTAAAGATACATATTTACTCAGTGTGGCATTTGCTACTTTTTAAAAATAAATATTTGTGAGGTATTTTACACGGGAGTAAGAATTAGATGAAGGAACTACCTTTGGAGAAAAGATATCCACAGAGCTCTAATTGCTCTTCACTTTAAGGTGTATCTCAATACAGGCTACACTTTCCCCCTGTGGGAGAGCAGGTAAACGCTTATACCTCTTTGCCTGATTATTCAGCCCTTATGTATTTCTCCCTCGACTAAAATTCCTTAGCAATTAAAAACTATAACCCACTTTTTTCTCCCTCAAATCCTGTTTCTTCAAATAGTACTATTTAAGAGGACTCTGAAGTAAAATACATTTGGGAAATGCTGTCTAGTCTCTGCCCCTTTAAGAATGTCACCATCCATTTTAGTACATTAAAGGCCCAGCCAAGGAGACTGTCTAGCCATTTCCAAACAATTTTGATCTTTGAACTGTTTTATGAATGACTTTTACTAGCATCCCATAGAATTAGTGTTCTTCAGTGCATACTGTAGAAAACAATAATTTGTAACCTATAGCTTTGTACTTGTCTATTTAATATGTATATAAATTTATAAAACACTTAATGTTCAAATATAGCACATCATTCTCAGATACATCGTTTCATTTGACTCTTAGATTTACCTTGATTTTATACCATTATTTTAGTTAACAAACTGTGAAGATATGGCCTGCCTAAATTAGATAATTTTTGTTTTGAATCCTACCCCTTAAGATTCTGTTTTATAATTATAAATCTATCCATATGTAGGCTTGTTTTTGTTTCCTTTTTGGAGACAGGGTCTCCCTCTGTTGCCCAGGCTGGAATGAAGTAGCAAGATCATGGCTCCCTACAGCCTCGATCTCCAGGCTCAAGCAATCCTCCCACCTTAGCCTCCCAACTGCTTGGGACTACAGGCATGTGCCACCATGCCCACCTAATTTTTTTTACTTTTTGTAGAGTCAAGGTCTCACCATGTTGCCTATGCTGGTCTCGAACTCCTGAGCTCAAGCAATCCACCTGCCTTGGCCTCCCAAAGTGCTGG